AAGCTGTTTTAGAAGGCATATATACTAATTTCCTCCATCTTTACACATTACTAAAAATACTGTGGAGTAATTAATATATTTATTGATAGTTTTTCTGATGCAGAAACGGTGTTTTGCAATGAAGTAACTGCTAACAATTGTTCCTTGACTGATACCTGCTACCTTGACGTGGTGGTTGGGCTTGCATATCACAACAACCCAACGACCTACGCTGGCTGGGATGCTTTTTCCCTCCAGGTCCTACTATCTCAGGAAGGTTTGTTGGATAGGGGTAAGATGAACAACAGCTACCGTAGTAGTGTTAATTATAACACTGATGGGGTTCGCAGGGTGAAGTCTTACTGTTGGCTGGATGGGGTGCGACAGCATTAAGATGTTTTCCTTGGATGACCAGCACTGCCACACTGATACTGCCTTTCTGGCGGGTGTTATAAAAGGTCAAACCAAAAATAACACACTCCTCCCTGCTCATACGGTCTTACAGTGCCGGCAGAGTGGGTTTTTTCTATCCAGCGTTAGAACAACCAGATCTGAAAACAGCAATCCGCAAAATGCTGTTGTGACAAGCAGATGTCCTATGGGCTCTTCTTTCATACAATTCTTCTTCTCGTCCAGGTACGGCAAGAAGAAATAACTGGTGAATCACTTGGCATGTGGCATCTTCATATAGCCAGCTGTTGAATGAGGTTGATAAAGGTTTGTGGCACTAAAACGGTAGTGTTGAAGCAACAGCCTGCCAAATTACTTCTCGGTCGACGCTGTCGATGAAGTTGAGGTAAAGATCTAGTTGGCTACCATTGTATGCTCTGTTCTATGATGATGTGTAGCGTAGCGTCGCGTCGCGTCGCGATTTGATCCGCCCATGATTTGTTCTCCCTGAATCCAGCTAGCCTGTTGCGGTCGTAGTTTTGAATCCAGCACATCCTTTAGTCTCTCCAAGATGATGCGGCATAATATTTTGCTAGGGGTCGACAGGAGCATGATTCCGCACCAGTTCCTGTTCTTGCAAATACTTAGGTCTCCCTTTTTTGGGATTTTGACAAGGTAGCCCTTCTTCCAATCGATTGGCAGGTACCTTTCCTTCCTTCCAAGTCTTGTGCAGTAGTGTTGTGAGCATGTCCGCTGCTGATGTCTCTGCGTCTGTATTCATTCAGTGCTTCTGGCAGAATTGCATCTGGTCCTGCTGCTTTCCCAGCTTTCAGCAGGTTTATGGCGTTCAGGACTTGACTTCTGCTTTTGTCGGAGGGCTTGTGTTCACTGGTAATTCTGCCGTTGCTGGTGATATTTCTGGACGAGTTGGAGATGTTAGTGATGTTGGTGGTGGTGGTCGATTCAAGAGTTTTTTGAAGTGGTCAGCCCATCGTTTCCTTTGTTTCTCCTCTTTGGTAACTAAGTTTCCTTCACTATCTTTTATTGGTTTCATCTGTATTGACTTCTTCCATAACAGATAGTAAACTGGTTATTTGATATAATGTTGTCATGTCTCTATCTCTCTTACCTGCAACCTGTTGTGCTTCACTTGCAAGTGTGTCCTAGAAGTGTCTTTTGTCTTTCCACGCACTCTCCTTCACTTCTTTGTCCGGTGTTTTATATGTTGTATTCAGTTCCACTTTACGTTGTATTATCTAAGATGGACAGTCTCAACATTTAGACCTTGATGCTCGTCGAAAAACAATTATAGTTAGGGCTATGGAAAGCGTCATTATTGGTGCATACTGCACATACAGGATGAAGGTACAAGATCTCTGTTTGTCAACCCGACAAGTGTGTTTAGTCTCTAATTACCCGGGGACCCTGTGGCGTCGCTATCTAACCCTGCTGGTATCAGTTTAGGACTAGCTGCTAGAGCCGAATCTGTCATTTGACTGTTTGTTCGTCAACAGTGGTTTGTATGCTTTCGGGCTCGAAGGTTCACTCAAAAGCCTAATTACCTAATGGATGTCTTTCGTCATCTCCGTCTACGGTGTAACATAGTTTTTCGTGGGTACAGCAAGAGCTGGGCTCTATATCCAAGTGAGTGACCTTCGCTGAGTGTACTGGTAAGATAGTGTAATGGTGACTGTGGTCTTGAATCCAGAGGCTGGGTGTCTAGCGTCACGGGACGGTTGTTCTAATAGTCAGTGTGGCGTGGATAACTAGGAGTTGGATGAAGTTAATTAACTTCTGCCACAGTGATCACCGTGGTGCTGTCTTATGTCCTCCTTCCACTGAGGCCTAGACTCAGATAGGTCATATTGCATTTTTCAGCTGGGTTTTGTGAGTTCATCGGGTTTTCCCGTTACTCCTGGATGATTTGTTTGGACTTAAGTCACTTTTCATTGTATGCGGTGTATTTTACTTGTGTAATCTGGACGTAGTATATTGGAATAAATAAAGTAATAGGCAAATGTTTTGTATTCTTCTTCAACGTTTCAATCTTTTCGGGAAGACTCTTTCCAAGGGTATGATTCTGATGCCTAGTTTTCAGGGTAATATTCAAGTTTTGTACAAACAGGTGACCTTTTTGATCATCCAATTAGATCGTGAAGTAGAACAAAGGTCCATTTTTATTTAGGTGAGTGATTTAACGGGTCATTCGAAGAAACCTATTGAAGTTGTGCAAGTAAGATAGGATCAGGAATTTAATATGACTTCAGAATGTACAACGGTGTTGTGGGTCACAGGAGGGGAGTGTGAATAAATTACTATTTTGGAAACGTAGTTCCCCAACTCACACTAATGTATGATGAAATCGATGAATCCCCACAAATCTTCAAACTGAAAGATGAATATGTTAAGAATAAATCCTGTGGAGTAGTGTGAAATTAAATTGTATTTAACCTTGTATATTATTAAGAACTTTTTATATGAATCATTATTGCTTGTCTTATCTGTGGGATAATCCAATCCATCTTTTTTGTTGACTACAGAAGGGTACGAATAGATGTGCAAAATTTCCGCAGTGGCCCGCTGCTCGGGAGGAATTAAGCCCTTCTTCGAGACTCTTTGCCTTTCAAGTGATATTTTATGACCTGAATATAAGGCATTAGCCGCAATGGCAGAGCTTTTTTCAGGGTTTTCCAGTTCATATGACGCTTTGGTGACTTTTGTGTGGCAATTCTGATAGACAGACTAAAACGGAACTACAATCTACCGCAGCGCTCAAGTTTTACTCCTAAGCTTTTTGATTGCTGTTTGCAACTTTGACCGTGTTGGTATTTGGCGTGATGTCTCTCCACTGTATGTGACATTGCATTAACTGAATTCCACCTTATAAACGCGACTCTGTTGTTCCAAATGGTGAATTAGGTCTTTTAATTTGAACAAATGTGAGTGCAGAGTGTTCGTTACTCTTGTGTTGTAGGATACGTCTGATATGGATGTCTGATAAGGAAGTACTACAGTACTTATCATTCACTTTCCATTGTGTACCTTTCGGTCATCATCGAAATTGTCACCCTAAGTAGGTTGAATTAAGCGTAGTGTTTAGACCCATTGTCGCAGTTAAAAATTAAGTCGACGTAGATTCGAGACTAGGTCTGGAAGCTGGATGCACTGTGAATGTACACTGGTCTCACCTAAATAAAAATGTCCAGTGAAACTGCTTTCGGTTTCGAAGGATGGGTCACGTTTGATACTGTCATGAAGCTAGTTCGGCTGTAAAAAGTCGGGGCGTTCTGTCCAACGCCCGTCAAACCCCGACATCCTTGATTTGAGGGTGTCCGGAAACTCTGTGCTTTAGGTTCCCGTTATTTTCGAGGGATTATTGGCATTGAGTAGAAACACTCTGTATGTAATTCTGTGGCGTGTGTTTAGACAGCGTAGATTATTCTCCAGTGAGTGAAGTCTTGAAATATTGGTTTCGGTGGTTTAGACATTTATTGTACATGTTATTCCAGATGCTTCGACGCTGTTCACTGTTTGCTTTCCCTAGGGGGGGGGGTCTTAAAAGTGAATAAATGGATGGTCATTGAATCACATGATGTCGTATGAAATGAGAGATAGTTGTTTTGAGTTGTCATCTGTGTATGCATCAAGATTGAATAAGACGAGTCGGAGAGAGCATGCATGTATCTCATTAGCGTTTATCCATTGTTCGTGAAAAGTAACTGGTACTTTTTCCGTGCATAATCTGTTGGGACCGATTGTTTTGTCTGTTTTCTTTTTTATGTTAATCATTTCCGTTTTTAGCCTCATAGTGTTGTTGTTATATTAGGTTTTATGTCAGAAAACTTCTTGTCTATGGTTTACTGATTTCGCATTCAAAATAAAAAATATCTCGGTTCCAGTTTAGCTACAATTTTCCTAAATAGCTACTCATTGTGAAAACTAGTGATGTTTCAATACGGTTGCTATTACCCAATGAATCAGCTAACTACTTAGGAAAGAAATTAGGTGACTATGCATTTTAGATCCTTTTCCTGGAACCTATCAATGATTGATTCATGTTACTCCTCCAGTCCTGACCATAAATCGCCGACGAAATTGCAGTTCATATATCAAAATGTTTGGTTGTCAACTACTGAATTTCGCGTTCTAACTAAGTCCTATAATTTCACTGAAATTTAATTATTTGATCACAAGTGGTCACAGTACATTCTTAACCACTCCTAAATGAATGCTTGTCTTCCGAACAAGTTTGGTTTCATAAAGTGTTGATACAGGACTTCTCATCCATATCTAACTGACTAGGCACCCAGCGTGAGTATGATCAAGCGATAGTAACGCATCACAAATTCATACGGTAGTCGGGCAAAACCTCTGCCGATTGAAGTGAAGTAAAGATCTGGTTAGCGGTCGAACCTCGTAGTCCAGTTGGTAAAGCACCGGGCCAGTAACCCGGTGGTCGCTGGTTCGAGTCCAGCCGCGGTCCACATTTTCATTTCACCCTCAGTAATCACCTAGTATCATTACTAGTCTGCAAACCACGACTATCTCAGATAGTCAAAAATAATAACTTATTTTCCTTATTGCTGTAGTGTAATTGGACCTAAAATTTGAGTTTTCCTTTTTTTTCACAGACACGGCTGAAAATGATAATGGACGCTTCACTTAATGCTTGTCGACAGGATACCTTATCAAATACATCCAAGTGAGCTCTTGTTTTATTCTTCGTTCAATTCCTGGTTGTTTTGAGCACACAGATTACAGATTCCATATACTGTAGCTTACTCAGTACATCCGGGGTTGAACACTACAGAAGCTGTGGGAATCCATTTTTTGTCAGCTGAATGAAAAATGTTACTATGGAAGGCTTAGCACTGACGTATAGTTTTGCGATTAAGTGAGGTGTTAAAGGATGTTAGTCATTTCAGAGTTCGTCTAGTTTACGCTGCTTCATAAAATGTTTGTGCTGCTAATTTATTCAATCTGTGAGAGATATCAGTGTGGCTTAATGATGTCAGTTTCCACCTTTTACTCGCCTTATTTTACCGTTTCATGCTTTCAGTTTTTGAACTAAGTTGCGTTTAATTAATTTGATATCTGAAATGTCCCCTAGGATTTCCATATGATTATCTATTCGAACCTTTTTTCTATACAAAGGTGACTTGGTATCTGGTTGACAACCAGTCATGTAAACAGTTTTCATTCCTATTTACATGCATCTCCTTTATAAGGCTAGTGCCAATCCACAAAGCCTAATACTGTACTGACTTTGGTCTTCTAGATTTTAGGAACCGATAACTGAAAGCTTTCTGTAGCATCGCTGGAATGGAGTTACAGAGTTGCAACTTACTGTTTATCGTTTTTAAATTTTGACTGTAATAATTTTAGTTTTCTCCTTACAAGGTTGTTACAAATTGTGCTAACTCGAACGTTGGCTAGTGTTTTATGGATATTATGGTGTCTTAGGTTAATTTTTCGAAACTGTACAGTTCAACAGTTTGTTGTGTTTTCCCCGAGAGTCGCCTGAAGTAATTTCTTACCTTTCGTGTTGATTGTTCTGTAAATATTCAGATTCGACAACCTGGAAATGGCTCTATTTCGGATAGGTCAAATAGAAAGGTTGCAATTTGAACGTTGGATATCTCGTCATCATGAGAAGATTGAAGCTCCGAAGGCAATGCGCACTCCACTTGTTAAATAAACAACTGAGTTATGACTAAACGTTTTTTTTGGAATACCTAATTGCCTTTCTACATTCATGTTCCCCGTTCAAGGGGGTAGTTTTTCACTCAGACTTTATTGAAAATCAAATCTTTACTATAAGCTTTCGTTTCTACGGTCACTATTTCTTAGATGTGTGAAATGAATAAAAAGCAAGCATTTTTAAGTGTAAGAGTACGATGAGAACTCGGCATGGCATTGTTTCATGCTTGAAATATTCAAACCACTCAACCAAACGACTTTATATTTTGGTAAATCATTCTGTGTTGTTGATCGTATGCTTGTCTTTGAACCTTAAGGATGACTGGAAGGCCTGTTGGTGCATTCTTAAGAACGTTTAGCTGGCGTACCGCTTGAACAGCTTTAATCTTGATAGTTGGATAACTCTGATGCTGTTAACAAGTAAGATTTCTGGAAGGAAATGCAAGTGTTTGTAAGTCATGGAGAAATGAACATCGATAACTTCGTGTCAGCCTTATATAGGAGTGTCCTACCTTGGCGTAATAGTCAGGATCGCATATCACCATGACTTAGTGAACTATGCTGCGCGGGCGCCTGTCTCCTTGAGATCCTACCGTAACATAAAGACCGGTTGAATAGTGGCAAAACAAAAAGCAGTTACTGTTATAGTGTACTGCACTACAGTGTAATGGAGTCTGAGGGTGAACTGGTCATACCAGTAAATTGTTCCCCACAGATAATCGGCAGTGTACCATCATGATGTCTCTTCTAAGGGAAGCGGGTTTGGGTTGTTAAAAGTCAACCTAATAAATTTCACACCCGCTACCCTTTGGTCTTTTGAGTTTATAGCTGAATTCGAAACAAAAAAAAACTGAAACCTGGAAATTGTGCTAAGGCAGTGACCTATCTCAAGTAGATTTCCTTCGGGTGTGGTCACGCACCACTACTATTAATCCAATTTCTTTTTCAGAGATATCAAGAAGAAGAAAAGTAAACTTCATTGTGGGAGCAGCCGTGAAATGTGAGCTGCCGTCACAGCACTGTCAGCATTCAACTTCATTCAGATGATTATCAGTCTTCAAATCTTTGCATTGTAGTCTTTCTTCATATCTTTAGGTCGATATTCCTACTTCACCTTTATTTTCTTCCAGCTGTATAGCTGTTGATGACAATTTGAGTTCACTGAACAGTATCTCTGGTCTCCTGAAACCGCACTTCAAACCACACATTGGAACTTTTTCAGTGTCCGCACTCCGTCAGTTTCCCAGACAAACGTCACTAGTCGA